CCATCGAAAATACAGTAACTCTGGACAATTTTTTCTAAAACCATGTTGTCTATTTATCCATTTAGATGATCTTCCAGGTGCCAAAGCATATTTGAAGACCTCGGAGGAAAGCCTGGGGTCATGGATTTAAGTTTAGCATGAAATTAGCTGGGTAATCCAATGTGTTAAGGTAAAATCACCTTTAAAAGTTAACATTAAACATCGGTACTGTGTTACTATTAACGTTAAAATGGCACGGATGCTTCTTAACACCATATAAATAAATAAGATTTATTTGTAAAGCGTACGTTGGGCCCCGTAATAGCGCAGGCTATGTATTTCCTAAAGGCAGTTGTCTGGAGCTGATATATCGTGACTAATGCCCGCACAGGAATGATAAATAGCTTATGGTCTATCTTCAATGCCGTGTGATATATCCTAATGGGAAGTAGAAGCAAATGTAAGAAAGCAAAATGTATTCTACGCACAGATGGGAAATACTTTTTTCGCTAAACTCTCTCTCTCTCTCACACACACATACACTCTGTGTTGACTGTCGGTTCCTTTACAAATCGTTTAACGCAGTCTTTGCATCTTCATGCTCAGTTTTTTTTCTACTCGGTTCGTCCCTGCTAGCACAATCAGCTGTGCTCAGCTTCATCTGAGTCCACTGCTTGTATCAAGGTCCGGGATTTTTACGTATAACCCCTAACTGTCACATACCTTGCGAGTTAATGAACTATCTAACAGTAGTTCTGCGATCATACTTAAAAAGCTTTCGTACGGATTTCGACGTAATCTATCGTGGATTGAATTGTGCATTGTTTTCAGCCATCTGTCAAGGATCCCTAACGTAACAATACAAAGTTATCCAAAGAAAGAAGGGCGTTCACCGGGTATTTCTTTCATCTACCCATCTTCAGAGAATAAATACCCTGGCTCATTATAATTCAGTATATATAAGGGAGATAGGCAGAGCCTTTAAAAACCTCTTTACAGATAGATGGTGTCAAAAATACATATGTTTTAAAGCAATATATGTACATTATATAAATCGTTGTTGTCTATCAAATGTATGACCAGCAAGTAAGGTAATATCGAGTCTTCTTTTAAATGTTTCAACGCTTTCAGCAAGAACAACTGAGGAAAACAGTTTATTCCAGTCTTCAATGATCCGGTGGAAGAATAAGTTGGCCCGCACTTCTCGTTTGACATGGTGTTCCTT